AGTGGAAAGTACATTTCATGGTCCTTTCAATAAAGTGATAGAAATGGTAGATCAGCGCTGAAACAAAAAAGTTTTCCACTCGGTTCATTAGACCATGTTCTCAGAAAATGTCTGATATCTGATCTTTCCCCCACTGCTCTTTGACCTGTGACCTCCACTGCATCGCACTGGTGATGGGTTTCCTCCCCATCACACTATACATCGAATATTGAGATTTGTGCCGCAATTCCGTATTTCCTCCTATACCTTAAAGGCATAATAGGCCCATTGATTATACAAAGTTGCGAATGCCTACAGTAACTGGCGCCTTCGTTGTAATAAGTACATTACCTTATAGTCAAACGCGTATTAGTTTGTCCAATATCACTGCTAATTACTAGAAATGTCTAATTGAAATCCGTAAATCTGGTAATCTGGCGCCAACACTTAAATTGGTTGCCAAGCAAAAATAGCTCGAATTCGGTTAGGCAAACGTCACATGTTGCTACAGGTGTTTAGCAGAGAGATTGTTTAGTCCAGGGATGCTTATATACAACTAATCGAGCTAGTTAGAATGCTATCTATGGGTGTATTCTCGGTATTGAGGCCACAAGTAAATAACCGGGGTGCTAATGAACGGTCCCACATGTCTTCAATTTCAGACACAGTGTATTCGTTTGACCAATATACGTAAATACGCAGTAGTGCCGGTCTGCTTTCCATGTTTAGTCTGTGCCGGTGTTAGTCACGATCTTCCCATAGCTTTGGCCCCCAACACAGCCTACTTCATTATCACGAGCGTCCGTGATTCGTACGTGGATTCACGTGCATTACATCAGAGCTACTGTTTACGTATACAAGTTACCGGTACTGTTACTATCGCTAGCATTGCGTACGGCCCGCCCGCCGAGCGAAAATGCATGCGTGCGCTGGCGTTTTGCACAGTGCGTCGGCGAAATGTCCGGTGGACTATAAATCTGTATCACACCCGTTTCAAAAGTATGCGGTTTCGAAACTGTAAACAGTCATGTTAACTGATTTTCGTGGACTGCGGATTTCAATTAGACATTTCTTAAGTACAGCCAGCAGTGATATTGGACAAAACTAATACGCGTTTGGCTATAAGGTAATGTACTTATTAATTACACAAGGTGCCAGTTACTCTAGCATTCGTTGTGTAAATTGCATAATCGATGGGCCTATTATGCCTTTAAGTAAGAGGAAATATTCCCCCTCCATTGACAGATCTTACCTTTGACCCCCAAATTCGAATACCGAGTCCTGTTTCGCGATTTCCCCCCCCCGATGTCCCGAGATATCAAGACCGTAGTCAACGGTTACAAGCAAAACAAGTGCTGGCAGAGTGACTTGGCTCACTGAGGTCTGTTGCTACGGTTATAAACGTAACATTTCAGTCGTGCGGTAGCGACACCTTCGTTAGGCGCAGATATGCAGATACGCAGTTGCGACAACATCATTTCAGCAAACGTTGTTTTTATTCAGAGAGAGAGCGCCGAGAGAGAGGAAGTAGAGAGAGGCGGCGAGAGAGAGAAAGATGAGAGAGAGGGAGAGAGTCAGTCAGACTCAATTGTTTATAAACAAATAACAACCATGCGGTCGCGCTACTGTATCAGTTACGTCATCGATTGAAATGTACATTTCCGATTTCGCCGGCGCGGCGTCCAAACTTTCGACGAAGATGGCGGGCAGAGTAAGGCAGATGGCACGTATAACGTACAGATTTCTTCAATGTCGGGGAAGATCAACACATTTTGACGACAGTCAACCATCGGGCTCTGAGCGTCCACAAGCCACATGCTCCACCATATCCCGACATTGCCACACTACTGTGTAACGCGACAGAGACCCATGCCAAGGACAGCTACAAAACTAGCAAATTTTCATTGGTAGGTTTGTACTATTCCATTTCTGCAATTACTGATCTCAAGATGTGGTTAAACTGAAGTTAGAAAGTCTATTCTCTGCACTTGACGCGGCAAGTATACATTTGACCTATCCTGCCGGGACATTCTTCTCACTCTGTTCCAATAGATCAGATGGCGTGCATACTGACTAGGTGCAGGGACTGTGCATGGACGAAGTTTGGTCAACGATCAGTAAGCCCAGCTGGTTTTAGAGTGATGCCTTCCAGGGCATAACTCCATTTAAATGTTCATCTGGTAAAGATAAGTCTCACTGTTACACTGTTTATGACACATTCAGATGCTGGGTCACTAAGACGGATTCAAATTGTCAACACGTTCCCCGCGGATCCACGAGTCAGCTTGTGGGAACAATCAAAACGCACCCCCGCCGATACAAGTCATGGATAGATTATTGGTTTTTGTTACTCTGATTTCCAACAGATGGCAAGCACTACCTACCTAGAAATTAAACAGGGACAGTCTATATTACCCCAGTCTTACATGAACTAACGAATACAATGCTTTACCGTTGATTCGAATGTGAAATTAGGAGTTTTGAGACTCAAGGTAAATTCGGGGCTAAAGTCCGTTCAACAAGGTTTGTTTGCTGTTTTCCTAACGGTATATAATATAATAACCGTGTAGTATGTTAAATTTCGAGGTATTTTTGCATGTAGAAACACAAAACAAGGTTCATACCCCCAACACATGTGTAAGCGTTGTCATATTTCTTACCGGAAAAAATAGTATACTGTCGAATGATATCGTAACAAATTCGAAAATCCACCTGTGCGGTGGCATTTGAGACGAAAATGCACTAAATGTCCGTTTTTTGCCCTGTTTTCATATCAATATATTATTATGAAAGGGAACGATTTCCATACTATTTGAACATGTACGGGTGAGATAACATTCATGCAGAGTAAATGTGTGAGTTTGGTTAGCTTTCCTGCAACGGAAATGTGGTAAATCAACAAGTGAATACGCGGTAAAAACGCAAAAATCCCAGCACAGGGCGGTAGGTGCATTGTTAACACCGGCAGCGTTGAACGTGTTAACAGCTAGAAAGATCACAGAACGTGCGGCCAAGTATGCCATCTACTAGATACTTCACTTTAAGGTGGTTACTGTAGGGCAAGCCAAAAAAATACCACTAACTAAATAAATCAATTACAACTGTTGTGCTTAGCTAAGACTGGATTTTAAATATGTTTTGTATAACTGCTTCTCCCCATCATCACCTCTTGGTGGAGCAAAAATATCGGCCTGCGGTTCAATCTTTGAGTAGTCAATATCTTCCTTGATGTCTCCATCAACATCAAGTTCATACAACTTAATCGAGACGACGTCATGATTGTCTGAAAACAAACAGAATTACGCGATCATTAAACACATGAGCATGGGTCTCTCACGTGCGATGAGACGTCAATGTTCCTACGGTCATTGTAGTGAGATTATTTTAACTGTTATTGGTGATGACGATAAAAGTAATACTATACCTAATGTGATCATTGCCACACGTTAAGGGCTGTCATATGCTGCACTGCATACTGTAGAAATATTCAAACCATTAAGCCCCCTATTCATAAAAAAACTGTATACAAATGTTTGCATGTGTAATTCACATGCATGACTTGTGCATACAAATATTTGATCAAAACTTAGAACGAGAAATGATGTACCAGCTAGTTGTCCTGTTCCGGCAGACGCCCCAAAGTAGTAACCTGTGGGAAGTCTAATGCCATGCACCTTGAAGCATTCCTTCCATGCTAGCTTGCCATCTGTGTCGAGCATCACCTAAGCACAGCAATAGATTAGAGTAGACATCACCTCAAACGTTAAAAATATGATAACCGATAAATAGTTTCGCAGCGATCACACCAAAATTCTTTCACCATTCAAGATTGGATAAATAACAGTGTTACTAACATTGATGGTGTTGTCTGTATGTTTCACGCAGTAGCGTAGTAACAGTGTGACTAACCGTGATGGTGTTGTCTGTATATTTCACTCAGTAGCGTAGTAACAGTGTTACTAACATTGATGGTGTTGTCTGTATATTTCATACTCAGTAGCGTAGTAACAGTGTGACTAACATTGATGGTGTTGTCTGCATGATTCACACAGTAACGTATAAGTGGACTAACATTGATGGTGTTGTCTTATATTATACTCAGTAGCGTAATAACAGTGGTCTAACATTGATGTGTTGTCGGTATTTTCATATCAGTAGAGTAGTACATTTGCTAACAATTGAGTGTTGGTGTATATTTCTCAGTAGCGTAGGTACATGTTAGCAACATTGATGGCGTTGTCTGTAGTTCACGCAGTAAACGTAGTAACTGGTGACCAAAAAAAAAAAAAAATGTATATTTCATATCAGTAGCGTAGTTTACAGGTTACACATGATGTGTTCTGTATATTTCATACTCCAGTAGCGTAGTAACGTGTACTAATTGATTGTGTTTTCCTGTATATTTCACTCAGTACGTAGACGTGTACTAAGCATTGACATGTTGATGATGTTGTTGTATATTTACTCAGTAACGTAGTATATATGTGGATCAAAAGTATTTTTGTGCTGGGGGCCGCGCGGCGGGCGGGGCAAAAAAAAAGAAAAAAAAAAAAAAAAAGGACGGGGAAAAAAAAGTTTATGGGGGGGGGGGGGGGGGGGGGGGGGGGGGCGGGGGGGGGGGGGGGGGGGGGGGGGGGGGGGGGGGGGGGGGGGGGGGGGGGGGGGGGGGGGGGGGGGGGGGGGGGGGGGGGGGGGGGGGGGGGGGGGGGGGGGGGGGGGGGGGGGGTTGTTTTTGGGGGCGGGGGGGGGGGGGGGGCGGGGGGGGGGGAGGGGGGGGGGGGGGGGGGGGGTTTTTGGGGGGGCGCGTGACCGGCGGGGGGGGGCGGGGGAGGGGGGGGGGGGGGGGGGGGGGGGTTTTTTTTTTTTTTGTTTTTTTCGGCGCACGCGCGCGGCGCTGTATATTTACACGAGCGTAAATAGTGTACTAACAATTAGAATGTGTGTCTGTATTACCAGTAGTAGCTAGTAATAGTGTGACTAACATTCGATGGTGTTGTCTGTATTTCACGGCATAGCGTAGTTAAGTGTTTACTAACATTGATGTGTTGTCTGATATATTTTCACTCATAGCGTAGTTACGATGCTTTACTAACCATTGATGTGTTGTCTGGTATATTTCATACCAGTACGTAGTAACAGTGTGACTAACATTGATTTTGGTATGGGGCTTGTTGTACTATTTCTTGACTCAGTAGCGTTAGTAACATGTGACTAACATGATGTGTGTCTGCATGATTCACGTAGTAAACATAGTAATAGTGTGACTAACCGTGACGGTGTTGTCTGTATATTTCACTGAGATGGAGGTGTCGTGGACGATGTTTCTGAGCTTCGCCTCACAGCCCGCGATCTCTGTATGCGTGCCGTCGCGGTCGTGGTCGTAATGCAGGCTGCCGTTGTCACCATGGCGGAGACGTACGGATGTTTGTGCTAGACACAGAACATGACAGCATCAGAAATGCGCAGCACTACAACCCAGGTTGTCAACAGTAACACACAGCAACCTTGGCTGCCTGTCACGTTGCTCGGGATTTGCGTTTTTTTTTGCCTGACTTTCATTGAATTTAATTTTTCTTCTGTGATTTGCAAAATGCAGTCTTTCTATTTCGTGTAATGCAAATTCATGCATGCACCTGTATAGTACCATAATGATTAGCTGGTCATTTCGCTGGGTTTATCGTGACATTTTAGTTTTTCAATAGAATTCCCTGATCATTCCTCATCTTTTTGGAGAAAGCTAATTCATTGATATCCCTGATTTCCGAACGAGTGGCCATTGCGGCAAGCGGATTGTGCAACAGACCAATAGCAGTAGCTAAATATGAGTATGAGGCTTCAGCATCACAGATAAGTTATACTTCATAAGAATAGTGGTGCCATCTGTATAGTGTGTCACCACTGATACATTAGAGCTACAGAGAATCAGGAATATAAGTATCAAAACCCTGTCCCAACATATGAGCTGTAAACAGCACACGTGTGGCAGCATGGTATCTACAAATGTATTTCAAAGATGAAGCTATAATGATCATGTTCAATAAGCAATGACCAAGTTAATATGATACAACTAATGGGCATAAATTGAAATGTAAATTAGTAATAATAAAATATAAATACAATAACTACAGTGTTCAGTACATACATTGTGAGGTCCATTTTGATTTGCGTATGTGTCTAAAAATATTGCCAAGCCATTAAAGTAGTCCATGTTGCCAAAAACGGGACCTAGAAATATACAAGTATGACATTAAAGCTACAATATCGCCTTCTAACACCACACTAGAATAACTGACACCTTGTATCAGTTGTAAGTATGTTACCTTAGACCAAAACAAAATATAGGTGTGGTTACCGTTTCCCGACCGACCCTATTTATTCCCAGCGACCCTAAACATTTTATTGACAATTTTCTTTAAAGTAAAAAAAAAATTAAAAATTTGAAATTAAAAAAAAAAATGAATTGGACAGTTCCTGCTTCAAAAGAAACCAATAGCTTACAACTAGCAACACTTTTTGGTGGAAAAGGGAAAAATTATGTAAAATTTACCTACTGTAAAATTTTGATGGGCACTGGGGAATTCCGTCTGTGTTGAGTGTGTCCAAAGTAAATGTATTTTGTAGACATACAAGCTCTTACGTAAAGAAGCTTTTATTTAGCTACACCCTGTATAAAACGTATATAGTTTTTCCAAACGTTAAAAACAATATGACACGGTTAAACCTGAGTGGTGCGACGAGACTGTACTGCTGTTTGCATGACTAGTAATACGACGTGCTTTGCAGCTACAATGACTTAATTATGACAATACATGTGTGTTACAACTTGAGACAATTATTATTATTTACTGTATAATTCAACGTGATATATTACCTAAATCTTCTTAATATTATTTTAAAACAGTATACTGATCCTTTGTAATAACTACCAGTGATACTTTACTGTTTAAATCATAACGTGAAATGCGCGGGGATGTGAGAATTACTCCACAACCTAGCGCACGTGAACAGTGAGCGTGCTGCACGACACGTGCATGTAAATAAACCCTGGCCAACACAATGTAGGGTTCACTACCACTGGCCAAAAGTAAGCTCCACCCACTTCTTATCGATTTTTGCCAACGCTGCTACTGGATTCAGAAACCTGTGCGTCCGAACATCCCACGCACGTTTCTTGAATGCCAACTAAAGTTGATTGCAGTGGGCGAACGCATTGTTTACATGTAGATCACGGTTTATCACGGATTAGTTTTCAAATTTCCTGTGGATACTTAAGTTGTAATATGAATTGGACAGTTCCTGCTTCAAAAGGCACAACGCACATCCTTCGGACATGGTTCGTAAATAAAATGTTTCAATAAAATAAAATGTTTTCCCGACCGACCTACCCTATTTTTTTCCGGCATGAAACGGTAACCACACCTATATTTTGTTTTGGCCTTACCTACAGCATCATAGGAGTTTATCCAATTTCACTGTCGGTTACTAATAAAAGCTCAATATCATTTGCATTCATCAGCAGTAGGTGATAATTAAAATTGCAACCACTGAAGCGGGAGTTACAGAGGTTTCTGCACATTGTGCATTTTGCACATTTGTGATTGGCTCATCACTCAAGTTAGAACACACAGAGCAAGCATTTACTTGCTAAACTCTTACTAATAATGTATTATTGTCAAAGAATGACAAAGAATACGAATTTGGTGGCAAGGCAATATACACTTCTAAATGATACAACATGTCAGTTCAATATTCTAAGCATTTGCTAACAGTGCGCAGAAGATAACCATATCCTGCATTTAAAATGCAGTGCTAACATTATGTTTGCATGGGCTTTAACACATGTATCGCTGTGGACAGACTCTACAATTAAACTGACCTACACTTATTAGGTCAGTCTGAATTTGCATGCTCTTCCAGAGCACTTCCTAACAATTATAAGGACATTAAGTGCTAAAACCAGAGGAACTCATATATATATATATATATATATATCATTTCTCGAATATGTAAATAAACGATCTATTTACAGTAGTACACCTGGAAAAGTATGCAGCCATGTATGCTAAGCTTAGTCCAAAGGCCTATTCCTGTAGCAAGAGGCATGGGTCTCCTTTGTTTGCATAACATTTAGCAGCCGCTTTGCAGGGGTTACACTCACCTAATATCATCCTCTCCTTTGTATACCAGAGTGCCATTCCATCCCCAAACAGATCTCTCCCAGAACCATGTACGTTGAAATGAACCTGCATCTCCCAATTTCTCACAGGGCATGGCTGAAAGATGAAAGAGAAACAAAACGCTTTATCAATTAGGATACAAATGAATTTGAATCAAAATCAATGGAAGGCTGTTACCTTTGATGAAATAGTTCAAAGGCAACAGAGCACAGAAATCAAGCCAAAAATCTATATGTGCAAGTCAACAGCTTGGCTAATTGGCCTTGTTAACCACGGCTAATGCTGTAATCAGTAACAGGAAATGAAAGAGCTAAACTGTGGTACAGGAACCCGATGCACCCTATAGAAATTATGTGCTTTTATATGTTGGAACCTTGTTAAAATGCCTTTGAAATTTGTTTCCCTTTTAAATCGCACACAGGGAAGATTTTTAAAGCAATTTGGAAATTTTTTTCAGAATTTGAAACAATTAGATGTTTAGCCCTCATCTTGCCAGTCACTGAGCAGCTTTTCTTCATGGCTCTCACTTAGAAATATGATAAATAGTAAACTGCACATGATATTACCACGGGTGTAGATACACAGTCCTTAATCTGGAAAAGGAAACATTGATGGCAGAATCACCTTGGCCAATAATCAGACATGACAGTCCTTGCATCTTACCAGTGAATTCCATATTGCACCTTGTTTGCTTTGTCTATCAGGTGTTAGTCGGATAAAGTTGTTTGTCACCATCGTGCTGCCAGTAAAATCCCACATTGAAAGATGCGTGCCAGATGCTACAAAGACAAACATATACTAAATGACTACATGAAGTTGTATTTTCATTTACTATAATATATACACACAAACCGACACGCATGCGCGCACGCACACACACACACACACACACACACACACACACACACACACACACACACACACACACACACACACACACACACCACCCAACAGGACGAAGGTTCATTTCCACTATACTTCAATACGTGGTAAGCAACTACCTTGGAGGATGGTAGGATGAAGTAAGATGGTATGAAGTAGGAAAGCACCAAATTTAAGGCTGGTGCAACTACTAGCCTAGCAGGGTAGCACATACATCATGCACACAACCAACCTAATGACTACTGAGTACTGAGCCATTCGTCGAGTGTGCAGTAAGTATGCGTGAGCGTGAGGTATTTCATAAGTGTGGCCTCAACCTTGGTTAATGAACTACCACAAATGCGTGGGATGTATGATGAGATTAGAGTTCTGTATTACTATAGAGTATAGAGACAAAAGATGTAGTAGGAAATATATTTCCCCTTTTCCACTACAGGTGAGGACGAGGTATTAAATGTGCTCAAATACATAAATACTGGCAAAGCTACTGGGTTAGATAACAATCTAGCAAAACTTATGAAAGATAGATGCAATCTAATTTGCTCAGCTGCTCAATAGATTATAATCAACATCTCAAATCAAGGAATGATTCCTCAGCGAACATAAAATCAGCTAGGGCTATACTATTATACAAAAAGAATATCAAAGCAAAAAACTTGTAAACTGTACCTGTGTCAATCTATAGGATCAAGTCCAAAGTTCTGGAATGACTGGCACATGATAATGTAATCTATGTGTATGTGTGTGTGTGTGTGTATGTGTGTGTGTGTGGGAGCGTGCATGCAGGATGATTGATTACTATACGAATCCTAATAAGATTTTATCTCAACTTCCTCAACAGATTAATGTCGAATGCAAAACTGATTAAATTTGTAATAAATCTGACAAAGGAAATCTCACTGGTATAGTTCTACTGGATCTTTTAAAAAAAACATTTGATACCACTGACCATACCATTTCAGGGGTAGAAATTAACTTTTAAACATGGGAGTCAAACATGTCAAACGGACTCCCTACCCTCAAACGGAGGGAGTCCGCAATCTGTAGTTCAAAATTAAAGATATTTTACAATAACGCATGTGCTTATTTTTAAGATTCATGCGGTTGCACGTCTGCCAAATTTTCTTTGGACATTAGCTGAAAAAATATGGTAATTCCGCAAGGCCGTGCTCTGGAACGAACTAGTTAGTATGGCAGAATTTTCAGGGAGTCACACAGACTCCTGCATATATGTCAAATCAGGTAGTCCGACAGTAAATCAGGGAGTATTTGACTCCGGACTCCCGTTAATTTCGCACCCTGCCATTTTATTAACCAAGCTAAAGGCAATTAGAATATATCGCGAGACTCTGAAATGATTCAATGCTTATTTCTCTAGTAGAAGCCAAGTAACAGAGGTAGGATTTGGCTTCTCTAATAAAGATACTATTACATGTGGAGTACTACAAAGGTCAATTTTCGGTCTATTGTTATACTTGATTCTTCTAAATCACGTAAAAATATACATACTTTTATGTTCTAAACTCTTTCAAAACAAAAATTGTAAACTTGTAATGTTTGTTGTCTCTTGTGCTTGTGCTGCCAAAGACAGTACCGTATGCGGCCGTTGGTGCTTTGTGCCTTGTTGTTGTTTCTGTTGTGGCCATTTTTTAACGTTTGGTGTCATAATATTTTTATAAGATAAAAGGTGATCAAAGGTATTTAAGAAGCTGATATTGCATGGAAATATTTTTGGGATGTTGGTAAGATGTGTAATAACATGAGATGTGTAGAAATATCTTAGAATTTCAATGTTACATGTTCAAGGTTGGCGTACAATAAATTGTCACATTTGTCTATCAAAGCCTACTGGGCCCTAGAATAGCGTCAGATTACACAAATTTATCGGGCACAATTTGTTAGTCTATGTATGATGTAGTTCCACACTATCAACCTATAGACAGCTAGGTCTAATTGTAGATTAGCACTAACCTAAGGTTGGGATTCGGATGATAAATTCATGACAATAACGATAAAGATACATGTACGTGGCCAGACGGCTCTGAAGTAGACTTGAGCTTTATAATAACAATACGACTATTTAATGCACTAAGTAATACTAATACTGTGCGGGTTACAATTTTACGAACTATTTTACTTCAAGAATTGTAAACATCTGGAACAGTCTAGGCTGAAGCAATAGTGAATGCACCAACAATAAACTCGTTCAAAATCAATAGACTTGAGGCAACCATCGGAAGTGGCAATAGAAATATAATATGGAATGACTTAATTGTAGATTCTGTTGGAGAGGACCTAATCGGACCTGTACCGGATACAAATGCTAAGTAATGCTAAGTAGTAAGTGATACAGTAAAAGGGATACCAGATCTTTGGAGGGGATACCAGATTTCAATACCTGGTATCCCGAATGGATACCATAATAAAAATCTAATTTCGACCCCTGATATGTCGACAAAATGACGACTAACGCGCAAGTCGTCATTTTCGTAAGTCGACACAAATATGCTGGTCCCAAAAGTGTTGACTTATGCAAGTTTTACTTAGCTCTAGTAGTATAGCCCGCGTACAGTTGCCGCAGGGCTGTAGCAACTGTACGCGGGCTATAGTACTACTATAAGAGCTAAGTTTTACTTAGATACAATAATGTAACCCAAACACACGGGTAGGGTTACAACGCAAGCCTATTATTTTCTTTGGCGGAGCACCCGAGTGATTCCACTCAGGGCGGTTTTATGGTGCGTATTTCGAGACCACAACTTCCAAACTCGGTTTATTCTAAACACAAACCTTTCTCTGCTATCCTGGGACTTACTATGTATCACAATACTCTGTATTAAACTATTATAACCTGTTACACAATTTCGAAGTGACGAGCGGCGATATTTCAAGTGCCATTTCTGTTGACCTGTGACGTACAGATTCCCAATGCGCATAGCGTTCGGCTAACTTCGTCATGAATGACAGCAGGCATCACGTGATACATTCGATCTTGGAGCCGAAGTATCCAGTGAATCACTCAGGGGCTCCTCCAAAGAAAAGAATAGGCTCGCTTTGCAACCCTACCCCTGTGTTTGTGTTACATTATTGTATCTAAGTTTTACTTCACTAGTTCGTCGCAAGTATCGCAGACTCACATGCGTCTAAACAGAGGAATTGCTCCGACCTCTGATTGGAGGATAAAAATAGAATTCGTGACGTTTCGTTTCACCGGTCATAGCCGCGCGTGTGTATTTGCTAATTAATTAGACTATCGTGCTTTAATAGACTCAAAATTCACAGAGATTAAGGCTAAGAAGACATGTGTCTAGACGATCTGCAGCCGGATATCCGCGCGAAACGCTCAAACGCCGCGTAGCGGCGCACTTTTGCAATTTCGCTGCCCTCTTCCCAACGCCAGTACTCAGGTCCTTTCCTAGGAGTTAGGTGAAAGCCTGCTTTTCGCTGAATTGAGCAGTTCTG